AAATGCAAACAGGAATTACATTTTTTTGGTCATCATGGGAGGACAAAACATGGCTCGGGAATCCTGAGTGGTGTAAGTAGCTCTATAGGGAGCTCCCACTCAGAGCTGGCTTTGTGCCTTAGGGAGGGAGTCCAGTGTCAGCCAACCCCCTTACTCGAGAATATTTGAATATTGAGAATATTATCGCTGGGGGGTGCCGCAGGGAGGCAGGTATTATGTGAGTGTCCCGATGTATGGCTTATGCTCTTGTGACCCCATGGGTCTCCAGTGCGGCATGCGCCATTTTGAGGGGGCGAGCAAGTCACAGTCCCCAGTCTCCTCATGCTGGCTAGGCTGCGGGTTTTACTTTTGGGTTCTTGTGCCCTGGGTGCTGTGTTGAGCCTTGGTTCCTTGGCATCCGCCGTGCAGGAAGTGGGGCTCTCCGCCTGTACATCTTACCCTGGATTCCGGAAGGCGGGATGTGCTGAAGTGTGCACTTTGGTGGGGTTGGTGCCTCCAAGTTCTGTGGGTATGTCAGCTAAGTATGCTGTTACCTGGTCTCAAGTTTTACCCAGAATTTGGCAAATATGCTGTCCAGTTTGTTTATGGTTGTTGCGCGGTAGGTCTCAGCTGGGCCTCCGGCCGTGATCGCCACCATTTTGTGAGCCATGTGGCGTCTCTGCGTGCTGCAGCTTTCAGGGCTGTGTGGGAGCGTTATGTATGCTCTGAGAACTGGGATGAACCTCCCCCCCCGGTTCGTGGGGGGATTGCGGCTTTGGATTTCTAGATGCGGCGTCTGGAGAGTGGCCGTCCCTCCGACGCCAGTCAGGCTTTTGGGCCGCAAGAGGTTGAGGGCAGGCGTTCTGTGTCAGGACAGTGGCACCATTCGAGTCCTCAGGATCCCCCCTTTAGTCGGGAGCTCGCCTTGCATGCGTCCGCTCAGCCTGCCAGTCAGGCCCCGCCCCCCGTGACATATGTTTTATATAATGATATCAACTTTTACACTTTAAAAATAGGAACACTTCCTCATTCATATGTCTCCTCTTTTAAAAAAAAAATTATTCTTTATTTTTGTCATGCAGGTAGGTACATTGCAAGACTGAATGCCACAACAGCAAGGTTAGACAGTGGCATGAGTATATGCACATTTTTATTTTTTGTGATAGACAAGCTTAGTGTAACTTATTATTCACAGTAAAGTTTAGTATGCATGTAAAGTAGGAGTGGAATACAGGAGAGTTGTGTAGGTTAGGTTTAGCTGGGTATAGAATGATAGTGAGTAAACCATAAGGTTTACTTTGAGCTCAGGCAATAATAGAGCATCTTGATTGCTGTGCTTTGCTATAGTTTAAACGCTAGTTAGGTGTGCCTTTGTAGTGTTTCTCGTGGGCTTAACCCCTGAGTTGCCCCATCATGGCATAGTATGTGATTATAGAAATGCATGCATTAAGAGAAACAATGAAAACACAAACATAAGATCGATGTCAACATTAGCAGGTTTGTAGATTAGTACACAGGATCTCTGTGGTGGCAGCTGTGATTTATTGTCATGTGTCCCTGGGAAGTGTCCCTTAGAAGTGGGGGCGATGTTCTCGGATTGACTTGACCCTTTCAGCCAATGCCTCGGCTTGATATTGTGGGGGGGACTCTGGGTTTTACAGCTTGAGTGGAGTATGTCGGGCCATCGCCTCCACCTCCCCATGCCTGAGAGGGAGACTGCCTCCAGGATCTGTGGGCACTGGCATCTTGGTGAAGTAAGACTCTCCCCGCCGGGGGCTTGTTGGGGCGTCGGGTGACCCGCCGTCGCTTATGGGTGCCTGGCCTCCGCCGTCGTGTTCGTTGCTTTATGGCTGTAGCCGGGGTGGCCCGCAGCCCAGGAGCGTCTGAATTAGGCTGAATTAGGGTTGCTGTGCCCTGAGGAGGCCCAGGATCTCTGCGACTCGCATCGTTGCGTACACTTTCCCTTTGGCACTGGGAGACGGGAGCCCTATAGATGTACACATTGCCCCCCCATACACACACTGCCCCCCATATACACATCCACTGCCCTACACATACACTGCCCCCCCATACACACACACTGCCCCACACTCACACATACACTGCAAATGTCACTCACACATACTGACCCACACAAAATACTGCCCCCCAACACACACTGTACCCCTGACATACACTGCCGCCCTCGCTCACACATTGTCCCCCTCACACACACACACACACACACACACACACACACACTGCACCTGTTACACATTGCACCACTCACACACACCACTGCTCCTATGCCCTACTACAGCCCCATTTCCCAGCAGACCTCAGGTAAGTTGTCAAACTGTTCTTAAATGGTTTGACTACTTATTCTGGGGGGGGGGAGGTCCCGGCACTATTGGCACCATAACCCCTACACTGATCTGTAGTGGTTTTTGTGTCTGGATTATTTCTTTAAATAATGAAGTGCTCTTCCTGAGATCAGGCTCTGGATGCGCCACTGCAGGACACCCATTGTAAAGCACTATTGAATATGTTGGCACTTTATAACTAGCAATAATAATAATAATAATAATAATAATAATAATATAAATGTTTTTATTTATAGAAAAGCAGACTGTAACCAGTTCAGATTTATATGTATGATTATGGCACCTACATGTTTGCATTTGACTGCTAAAATCACATCTACATTTTTTGTAAGAAGCAGGTAATATACAATTTTTTCCTTTAGTTTTTCTAATGCACAGCAATATATTTAAAGAAGTAAAATGTAATCATTACAGTTATATGTCAAGTCACAGTTTTCACTTTTAATAATATCCACTTTCAGACCTAGCATCTATCACTATGGCAACTTCACTTCGTGTCGCATACACGTCATCACTATGGCAACTTCCAGTTTTGACACTTCCCATAGCACAGAGAGGTTGTCACGTTAATTGGTGAGTAATACACTTTATTTCAGTTATCTATAAATATTTGATTTAGCACCCCTCCCTGTCACAGGTGCCTCATTCCAATGCCCTATTTAACATTTAACTGCAGAGAGCCCCAGGAGGAAGGATATTCCAAGTAGATGGATTAATCTTATAAGACCAAACATTAGGTTGCTAGAGTAGGACCTGCCCAAAATGGGGTACATTGGCTGTGTGAAAGGATTATGCAATGCATGATAAATATCCTTTAACCAAATCCCCATTACTCAGGTTTAAAACAAACAAAAAAAAAGATTATATTTCATGAGCTTTGAAGTTATGGTTAATTTTTCCGTCCCTGTACACTTTAACAAGCCTAGTTTCAGAGCCTGGGCTGCCTATTTGCATACATTTATAGCGAAGGCCCCTATATATATCCTCTTGAGACCCAGCCCATTAACTTGTGCCCTCTGTACTGGACGTTCACATGCATCTCCTTTTATTCTTTTGAGATACTCTATCAATCCCTGCTGTGTTGTAAAGAGGGCATCCTGAGCTTTCCAGTGATATGACATGTGATCGGCTGGGATGCTGGGAGCTTCCTCTTCCTTTTCATTAAAAATGGATGGTATATTGGAAGACAATTTTTTTCCCCTTGGTTCCCAGTAGGATATGCAGTTCCAGGTCCCTGCTGGCTTGCAGAATAAAGAGGGGCGTGGGAGTAAAAAAATTTTCTCCTGCAGCATCAAGTCCTCTCTTCTTTGTGAGCCATGGCAATGCTCCAGTATGCATTTCGTGCTGTGTGGAGCGTTGCCATAGCAGCCGCAGCAATGCTCACGCAACTTGTGAGAGGAGAGGACTTGATGCTGCAGAAAAAAAAAAAATTGACTTTCAGGCCCCCTCTTCATTGTCCTCCAGTATCCCCCCTCCATTCTCACGGGTAAGAGGCAGGGAGGGGGAAATAAATATCATTTTATTAAAAACACGTAGGCGAGTATTATGCTGCACTCTTTCTTTACTTCCCTCCGCAGCAAAGAAATAACAAATGGAAAAAACAGGTATAAACATCATAATGACAATATCCGCCTAGTAACATGAACATCCGATCAGCGACATCCTTATCCTACAGTAGGCGGGACATTGGTGACCATGTCCTCTTTCTTTGCTACTCCCTCAGTTAAGTAGAACTCTCCCAGTTTTCTAACTGTGGGATCTTCTTTATTGTGATTATTGTATGTTATGTTTATTGTATTTATGAGTTATTAATTGCAGTGACTGGTACCTCTGGGTGCTGCTCTTTTAATACTGTTATTTTATAGCTTATTTCATTGGTTTATACTACTGTAATTTCTCTTTAAGAATTGCAGTTAAATTTTTCCCTATTGGGATCTCTTTCCCTTCTTTATTGTCTCCTCCACAGTGCTATTACTCTCTCTAATATATTTGTTTCGCCTGCCTGTTTCTGACGTTTTTTCTGAGCTATCTGGGTCCTTTCCGCCGAGCCGTGCATGCACGTTCCGTCAGGAGCACCTCTGGTGGCCATTTTGCTGTTCGGCTGTTTTCGCACGCAGGTCAAATCCCGAGCGCATTTGGGCGCATTGGTTTTTCGTTTGGCCCCAGGTTCAGCAGGCTTGTGTTCCCATATACTGCATTCGGCAGGGCCGACGCTACCGGTAAGGCGGACTAGGCAGCCGCCTAGGGCGCCCCTTGGGAAGGGGCGCCGCCAGGAGCGCCGGCCCCCCCATGCTGCAGCCGCCCGAGCGCTCTGTAGAGAGCCTCAGGCGGCTGC